TCTTTTCTTGTTCAACCAAAGTAAAACTATTTCTCCCTGCAGATCAGTGCCAGTCTTCATCCAGCTTTCGCCTTTTTTGCCACTGCCAGCGGCCAGCCAGGCTTGCCGGCCTCTCTTTTAATTTATTTATGCATTTTGTTCTCTTTCACAGTTTCACTGCCGTGCGCGTGTGCCTCTCCTGTTTAAGTGTGTAATTTTCTTTTGTTTTGGCTCACTTGCTATCTCCTCAAGGTCAAGCTATCAATCAAACAGAGAAATATTTTACAGTGGGCTTAATATTTTTCATGCTAAATGCGAAGTGGGCCACGACAAATCGGCAATCCAAGTGAACTTGGGTGAGATACATCGCATTCTTCTCCATAGTCCAGGCAGCCCAAAACCCAAGCGTGGATTCGGCCTCCCAAAACCAGTCTGCAGAAATCTGGCCCAGTTCATTTTTCTTTTTGAAACTCATTGGCCGAGTTAGATGCGATTATTCTCAGGCCTGATAGTCAGCCTGTAACTTTGGGAGAACTGGCAATTCTGGCCCGTTTATAAAGAGATTTATCCTTCAACTCTTGAAGGCTCAAAACAAAGAAAAAGTACACCCAAGGTCCCTCAACTTGTCATCGAATTACAAAATCATCCCTCAACCACAAAACCGGATATCTGGTGTCTCCTAACTAACCAAAACAGGTCACAATAAATCCTTCGGTGGTTTTAACCCCTGTTGGCGGCTGAATCAGCGTGGGACCCACGCGGGCCCCACATGTCAGGCTGCTACATCAACCTTCTCTCTATTTTCCCTTCCTCCCTCCCTTCCTCATCTCTCTCTCTCCCTTCTCTGTCGACTCAGCCGACGGGAGGAGGAGGGCGGCGGCGGCCGGCGACGGGCGACGTGGGAGGAGGAGCGGCGTCCGGGCTCCTCCGCCGGCCGCCACCCATGAGGCCCACGAGGCAGAGGAACGGCGGCGATGGCACAGCATCAGCCTCGTCGGAGGCGAGCGCGGTGGCCCCACCCTCGACCGCGCTGCGCGCGCGGCCGCCGAGGCGCATGAAGAGGGCCCCCGCCGTGGCGTCGAAGTCGGGCGTGGAGACGGCGAGGTGGGCGGCGGCACCGGGGGGATGGGAACGGCGGTCGGCGGGGGAAGGGGAGGGGAGCAAATCGAGGGCGGCGCGGGAGACCAGGACGGGAAGGGGAGCGCCGCCGATGGCTGCCGTCACGCGGGGAGGACCGTGGTGGTCGTCTGCCTTCCCTCCTCCCCCACGTGACGTGCGGCGCCATTGACGTGACCGCGCATCATCGTTGGGGTGAGGCGGCTGGCGGCTGGCGAGGGAGGAGCACGGCGGAGAGGAGGGCAAATGCGGTGGCGGCGGCGTCACCGATGCGGCAGGGAAGAGGGTCGGCGTGGCCGACCGGGAAGGAGAGGCGGAGAGGAGAAGGAGTGGTGAAGAGGGTCAGCGCGGCCGACGAGGAACGAGCGGCGGGGAAGGGGTGGGCAGCAGCAGGGCAAGGCATCGTCGGCAGACGAGCACGGTGGCGGAGAGGCAGCAGCAGCAGCAGGTGAGCGCGACTGCGGATGGGGAGCGGCGGCGCCAACGACTCAGCGCCGGTCGACCTCATCGTCGGCGGCAGCTTCGGGTGGGGGCGCCGCGCCGCCGGCTTCTCGTCGCTTGTCCGCTAGGCCGCGGCCGGAGTGGCGAGCTTCGACGACGACGAGGCATACGAACTGGTGAGTGGTGCGGACCTCGTCATCAGTGGCAACGTCGACGAGGAGGGCGAGGGCATCCGCGCATACCTCCTCCACCTCCCCCGCCAGCCGCAGCCGCGTGCTGCCATCGCCGATGCCCGACGGTTTCGACTTGATGGCGGTGTCGTCGAGTCGATCTCTGCATGATGGCCGCAGCCGCACGCCGCCATCGCCGACCGCACTAGTGGGACGGGGAGGCCCGCGGGAGCCACCGTCGCCGGCCGCGCGTGTCGCCGCTCGTGCGAGAGCAGAGAGCGAGGGGGAGGAAGGAAGGAGAGAACAGAGAGAGGGAAGAGGGGAAATAGAGTATGTGTTGACGTGGCACCCTGACATGTGGGACCCACGTGGGTCCCACGCTGAGTCAGCTGCCATGTCGGATAAAACCGGAGTCAAAACCGTCAAGGGACCTATTATGATCGGTTTTGATTAGTTAGGGGACACCGGATATCCGGTTTTGTGGTTGGGGGATGATTTTGTAATTCGATGACAAGTTAAGGGACCTTGGGTGCACCTTTCCCTCAAAACAACCCATGACGTGAGATGAGGCTGCTCTCTCGTATGGCCCAATTGTTCATTCTGACACTTTCGCATCGCACAGCTCTCTCTGGCCAACTGGTAGTGGTTATGGTGGGCCCGTTACGATTTGAGAAGAGCCCAAACCAACGAAATCGTCTTCGTGTGTCTCATGTTGTTCTGGCTTACTGGTGTAGTGAACACTTGTTTAATAAATACTTCGTATTTTAATTCACAAACAGAGTATCGTGAGCAAAGCAGAGCCATATCATCTCGAGAGTCAAAACAAGCCAAACAACAACTTGAGCATTGAAACGGGTCAAAACAAAGAATTTAACAATAGGGAGAAATTGGCCCCAGTTAGAGAATAAACAGATATAAGTAGAATCTACAGAGAAATTGAGCAGTACTCCCTTCGTTTCGAAATGTTTGACACCGTTGACTTTTTAGCACATATTTGACTGTTCGTCTTATTTAAAAACTTTTATGAAATATGTAAAATTATATACCTACATAAAAATATATTTAACAATGAATTAAATGATATGAAAAGAATTAATAATTACAAATAAGACGAACGATCAAACATGTGCTAAAAAAATTAACGGCGTCAAACATTTCGAAACGGAGAGAGTATAACATAATTGTCATTGAGCCATTGACTGGTCTCGATAGATCCAACGTGGAGTACACGAGTTGACCGTTGAGCAAATTAAATCTTCTATAAAAAAGCTTTGTATATTGCAAACAAGCTCGACGCTGTTAACTGGGACGCTTTCATAGTTGGATAATTTTAGAACAGATGCCATCACCGGGACCAAAGACAAGTCGCAATCTAGCAAACCTGGGCAAACAGCAGTGATCAAGTGAAGCCTAGGTGGCACCGAAGAGGTAGCCGCGGAGAGCCACCGCGACGGCGACGCCGATCCTCTCGCCGCCGCCGGGAACTGCTCGGCGACGGAGGCCAGCAGCGCGAGAGATCCACCAGGCATCTTAAGACTTTGTAACACTTATTAATAGCTTCTTTATTTGCTTCTGTCTATTTTTTTCTACATATTGGAGTAGTAATACCCATCTTCGGTTAATTCACAGGGGGCCAAACATATTTCTTCGTAACCACCTGATGTTTGTACATCGTTTCTCCTTCCTCTACACTTGCATCGAAAAACAGGACAAGATTTTTCCATTCTTTCTAGAAACAAACAGCATAAGAGTATGCCTTAATTAAAACTAGCATAATGGCCCGTGCAGATTGCGCGGCTAGCATCATTATATTTACTCTCATATAATAGCATATATGTTTTCTCATTATATTATTCAAATATATTAAAATGACAACATAATTTTACAAAACTACTAATGTGTAATATTCATATTATATTTTATATACGTGTTAGTTATTAATTATTTTTAATATCAAATTTTAGTTATTTGTAAATTATATATATTTCTATATGAATTCTAGACTTGTCTTTTAATATTTTTTTTTAATTCCGAATTTTCTGTAAATTGTATTTCTATATAGATTCTATGCTCTTCTTCCAATATTATTTATTTTTATTTCTGATTTTTTATTATTTCTAATTGTATTTCTATGTGGACTCTAAACTCATCTTTAAATATTCTTTAATTTTTAATTTCGAATTTTAGTTACTTCTAAATTGTATTCCTATATTGACTTTAAACTCTTTTTCCCATGTTTTTCTTAATTTCGAATTTTAGTTATTTGTAAATTTTATTTTTATACGGACTCTAAACTCTACTTTTAATTTTATTATGTTTATTCCAAATTTTAGTTAGTTTTAAATTTCTATATGGACTCTATACTCTACTTCTAATATTCCTTATTTTTTAATTTGGAATTTCTATTTTTTTTCTTAATTGTATTTCTATATGGACTCTATACTCTACTTCTAATATTCCCTTATTTTTAATTCCAAATTTCAATTATTTTCTAATTGTATTTTTATATGGACTCTATACTCTACTTCTAATATTCCTTATTTTTAATTCCGAATTTCAGTTATTTCCTAATTGTTTTTTATAAGGACTCTAGTCTCCTCTTCTAATATTCCTTATTTATTTTTTAATTCCGAATTTCAACTATTTCTAAATTGTATTTCTATATGGACTCTAGTCTCCTCTTCTAATAGTTATTATTTTTTTAATTCTGAATTTTAGCTATTTCTAAATTGTATTTCTATATGGACTCTGTTTTTTCTTTTTCTCCAATTAATGTAAGAATTTCTAGGCCATGAGAGCGAATGTGGAGGCTCTTTTTTCTATTCCTTTAATAATATAATAGATTAGCATTTCACCAATTTGTATTCGCAAACAACATTTAAAAATCACTCCATGAATTATTTTGTAAAAAGAGTGGTGCGCCCATGAGCTATCATTTGGTGCCCTAGTTAGTTGATGAACTGGGTGGCGCAAAGTCCACATATCATAATTTGAATCGTCATGTATTTGTGTGCACGTACCGGATACAAACAATTAGTACTATTGTTTGCCTTCCAGCGTATATAAGCCATTGCGAAATTTTAAATTTTAAAACATAGTTTTAGAGTTTATGATGGATTTTTTTTTACTATTGGATTTTAAATCGCTAAACACACACACACACACACACACACACACACACACACACACACACATATTAAAAAACTTATCTCATAAGACGTTAGGGAAGTGGAAATGCAGCCCAAGAAAGGCCCAAGAAAGGTCCAACTCGCCTGGTAGGCCCTCCCGTCTCTCTTCCATCTCTCTTCTAGTCCAGAGTCCAGACGCTTTACGCAACTGCGGCGAGCCGGCGACGCGATGCGTGCGGCGGCGGCGGCCTCCAAGGCGGCGGGGAAGGAGAAGAGCAGGAGGAAGGGCGGCGGCGGAGGAGCAGGAGGAGGAGGAGGCGAGCAGCTGCTCACCGACCAGGTCCTCTCCCTCCGCGCCCGCCTCCACCTCGCCCTCGCGCTCGGCCTCGCCAAGTATAATTTCTTACTTTCCGATAATTACTTGCTCTTCAGTAGTCGCAGGCTAGCAGTAGGATCCCGTACGCGCCATTGATTTACTCTGGTCCTGTAATTTCTATAGTTTAGCTTGTTAAGAAAGGAGTTGCTTGTACTAACTAGGAGAAAGGGGAATTGAACACAAATAATCTGAAATTACTGTGTGAAAGTTCAGACGGATGGCGATTTTGCAAAGATGTACTCCATTTGATATCTTTGTGTGTATACTTGCCAGGTCTGATGGAGGTCCAAAGAAATGGCAGTCTACTGATGCTGGAATACAGTCTCATGTGCTCAAAGCAGCATCAGCCTTTCTTGGCTGTTTGACCAATGAGATGCTGCGGCTTCCTCCTATAAAGGTATACCTTGCTTTTGTCTGTATAGCCAACATGCTATAGCCAAACTTCGATCTTCCTTCATGTATCTGCCATGTGATATTCTTGCTGGCCGGTGTGGTAGTGGTCGAATTCTGAGGACTGTTCATTTATCTGTTAACCAGGAGTCAATTTCGGATATACTCATAGCACTGGAAGGTATTCTTCAGTCCAAGAATGTGTCGGTTCTGATCCAAGCAACTGATGTTAGCTTGAAGTTAGTTTCCAGTGTAGGAAATTTAGCTCGCCAATACCCGGTTTTAGAGATCGTTACATGCCTCGCGAGTCAGCTTTCTGCAAACCAGATAACTATAGCTGTCTCATCTGCAAGTACATTGAACTGCATACTGAACACCCTAGCAACAGCGAGAAGTTCGATTCATGCAGAAATTTGGGAAGCTTTGGAGAAAACCGATGCAGTTACAAGTGTCATTGGAGCTCTGCAGAATTACTCCCCTGATGTCCATCCATTAAACTATCTGATGGAAATGATGTCTCTGCTAAGAATTATACTGTGGATTTGGCCTTCTTCGAGATACCATGTATGGAGTAACTGCAACTTGATGGGGAAGCTAGCACAATACTGTGTTGCCTCTGAAATGGATGTTGCTGTTAGAGTCCTCAAGCTATATGCTGCTTTAGGTACACCTTTCTTGGTAATTACCTTCTTTGACCTTTGTATTAGAATCTGCATAGATCTTTTTGCTATTCCTTTAGTTTCATCTTATCTTCCAAATCTTACTGTAATCCAGCTTTATGTGGGAATGGTGCAATGGTCCTTCTGAATAATGAAGACTTGATGGCTAAGGTTGGTGCGCTTTTGGGGAAGTCAAATCCATCTATTGCTAGAATTGAAGCATTGAAATTCTATCAGATTCTTTTGGTAAGAGAATTAAAATGTGACGATTAGTTAATACATTTTTTTTAAAAAAATATGCTGTAAGATTTGAAACCAAATTGTTATCTGCAGCGATCTTCAAAAGGGTGCGATCTGTTAATGGCTGCACACTATCAACACATTATTGAAGGCACAATCAACGCAATGTCTAGAGATGATGAAAGATTGTTAACAATAGAGGGCTGCCGCACTGCACTGCTGGTCCTTCGTTATGCTGGGGATCATCATCGGCTCTTTTGGTCTCATGCTATTGATGATGTATTATATAAGATTCTTACTGGTGGCTGCACCTCTTCACATAAAGCCAATCAGATTTTGTGCCACGACAAGCTTTTTAATATGGTTTCCGAGAACTTTATGGATATACATTCTTATGTGTGGGATATACTTGGAAATCTAGCAGTACATTGCAAAAATGAGTATCTCTCTGTTAGGAAAGGGCAAGACTCTGCCTTGCAGGCACTAATACATTGTATTTGGTAGGTACTAGGTATTAATATTTTCCCATCTTGTTATTCTTGCTATAATTTTCTCGAGTGCTATTTTGAACTTACAGATGACTTTCTGTATGCCGATTTACATTTTCTGTCCTCTTTTGCAGCTCACTTGCAGCAGATGCTATGCAGAAAAGCAACACCATGAAATTATCCAAGGATGTGCATGAGCCAGCTTTGAGGGCTGTTCTGATGATGCTTCTCTCACCCAGTGGATACATTTTGTCTGAGGCAAGTTCTAAACTCTTACATGTTTTACCTTTAGGTGATGACTGTTTGAATATTCTGTTCACGTCGTTAGAATCAAATACTACAAGAAGCATTACTGCATCTTTTGACAATGTCAAAATTATGTCCAACCTCATGAGCCTAGCGGGCATGGTGATGTTACAACCTTCCAATAATTCCCTTAACATGAGAAGAGCTGTAGCTGTACTATCCACCATTATCAAGGAATGTGTACACAATAATATACATATCACGAGGCCAAAAGTTGTTTCTCATCTGCAATTTTGTTTTGAGGGAGGTTCATGTTGTAGTCTTGTTAAAGAGTGGGAAGGTGAGAATATTGCTTTAATCTATGGTCTCATGGTGTTGTTTAATCTGCTGAAGAGCATCAATTTTGTTTGTATCCACTGTAAAAGGAATTTGGATGTGGGGATTGTGTGCAATGATTGCAGAGATCATTATAGTGAAGGTCTGATTAGAGTTCTTCAAAATGCGTCATGTCAAAACTTGAGCCCAGGACCGAAGTTGTACATTTCACGTATACTGAGTTTGTTTGGCCTATGCGGTTTTCCAAGCAAGTTGGGAGGAAAGATGAGAAGGGCCTTAGATGATAATGAGCTAGCTGATCTGGAACTGTTGCTTTCAAATGGTGAATCTTTAAAAGCTCATACAGCCATCATTTCAGTAAGGTGTCCAAAGTTGTTGCCATCTGCAAAATCCCTTGGTAGTGATGGAAAAATTACTGATGAATGGGGCAGATCATTTTATCATGTTCGAATGTCTGATCGTGTTGATAGTTGTGGCTTGAAGAAAATTTTGGAATACACATACACAAATTCTGTCATGGTAGATGATGACAACATTAAGCCAGTAAGGACACTTGCGAAGTATTGTCACTTGAAATCATTACAAGAGATGCTTCAAAAAGAGCAGCCTAGGTGGAACTCTGATTGTCCTAGATATGATCTTACTGCAGCACTTGAACCAGTTAAATGTTCATTCTCGTAAGTTATTCCTATGATCGCTATTTTTATTGATTCCAACTTGTGAGCCAAAAGGCAGTCTGATCTGCCTTCAAAGCATTTTTGGTTATTCTTAGCCTAGTCTTAGTAATTTTTCATTCTCTAGCTACTTTTAAGAGTTTCTTTTTTTGTTTACTAGAGCATCAGAAGTCAGAGCAGATCACACAGCACCTTGCATATAAAACGGAAACCACCTTGCATTTTGTTCTGTCTAGTCTTGTTGACTTGTGTTGAAGCCCCACTGATCCATATTAATTCCAGGGACATAATTCTGGAGGCTCAGTCAAACGAAGAAATGAAGTGTTACCATGGCTCATGCCAACTCTCGACTTCGCATGTTCACTGCCATAAAATTGTACTGAGCATGAGCTGTGATTACCTTCGAGCATTATTTCAATCTGGGATGCATGAGAGGTGAGCCTTTTGTCAGTAACTTTCTACTTGCTGACAACCCATTACCCATGCTTGTTGGAACTGCAGCGAATTCTCAATTGTTATACTGTTTTAAAGAGCACCCTCGTGCATATTACTGGCACTTGTAATGCTATTTCACATATCCTCCAAATGATCGATAATAAACCATTCATGCAGCTTCTCAGAAGTTATCAATGTTCCACTGGGGTGGCAAGCGCTGAACAAACTGATCCACTGGTTCTACTCAGGCGAGCTACCCAAGATCGACCCCGATTGCCGATGGCGAAACCTGAACAGCGAGGAGCAGCTTTCTCAGCTGCGGCCTTACGCCGAGCTGTCATCCCTGTCTGAATTCTGGTTCCTGGAGGGAGTGAAGGAGGAGAGCCTGTCAGTGGTCACCTCCTGCCTGAGTTCCACCAGCACGGCCGCCTCCGTCGAGTTCGTCGTCTTCGCGGCGCAGCTGGGTCAGTGGGAGATGGTGGAGGCCGCCGTCGGCAGCGTCGCCCATCTGTACCCCAAGCTGCGGGACTCCGGTCAGCTGGAGCAGCTTGATGATGATGTGCTCAACATGCTGCGGACAGAGTATGTCAGGTATTCACTGCACCGGCGGTAGAAGTAGCTGAATTTAACACGGGTGATCATGCTGGATTTGCTTGTATCGTGCACTGTATCATGTGGTGGCGTACATCGAAATGTGGTGAGATCTGCACAGATACTACAACATGTAAAATTGCAATTGCAATGATTTGAGCTGTTTCTTGTGTTCATATTGTATTTTTGAAACGATTTTGTTCATCTTGTGTTCATAAATGTTTCACATTTTTTACCGCTCTGCTCGTCACAATGTGGTATCTCGAAGGATCTGGATCGTGGATCAAAACTGGTCTATCACGATTGCTTCCACGTGTCCCACCGAGAAAAAGCGACAAAACGAGGGCCCACAGTGATGTTGGGCCTAAAGAAGTGGCGATAAAAATGTTGTGGGCCTTAATGGGCTATAACGGCATAGCCTGACAATTTTAGACCGTAAGTAGGCTGGAACCGTATGATTATGGAATAAGTCCATTTTCTCTCCCTCAACTCTTGTGCTTGCGTGAATAACATCCCTCAACCGGAAAACCGGATATAACGCCTCCTTCATCTCTGAAAACCAGAGCAAATCACCTCCCTCAGTGGTTTTGCCGGCGGTTTTGTCCGACGTGGCATTGTTGACTTGGCTGACAAGCTGACTCAGCATGGTGGGACCCACATGTCAGTGTGTAGCGCGCGCTCTCTCTCCCTTATCTCTCTATCACCCGGTCTTTCTCTTCACCCCGGTGCGGCTCGTCGACGTGGGTCAGGCGCAAGGCGGCCTAGCGGTGCGTTGCGACGGAGAGAGGTAGCCGTGCGGCGGAGGTGATGCAGGAGAGCGCACGGCAGCGGGCGGCGCGGTGGTTGGCTACGGGCGGCCGTGCACAGTGGGCCAACCTCGCGCGGGCACGGCGGATGGCGGCGGCTGGCGAGGCCGGGCACGGTGCGGCGCGGCGCGTGGTGACCTCCCCCGCCGCATGTCACCGAGCCCCGCCGGTCAAACGCGTCGTGCCGCCGCCATCAGGCTGCGCCAGGTCGCCGCGCGCCGCGCCGCCCAGTGCCCGGCCTCGCCATCCGCCGCCATCCGCCATGCCCGCGCCAGGTCGCCGCGCGCCCCGCCGCCCGTAGCCGACCACCGCGCCATACGCGCCGCCCGCCGCCGTGCGCTCTCCCGCATCACCGCCGCCGCACAGCTACCTTCGACCGGCCGCCTTGCACCCGACCCACGTCGACGACCCGCACCGGGGTGAAGAGAAAGGCCGGGGAAGAGAGATAAGGGAGAGAGAGAGCGCTACACAATGACATGTGGGTCCCACCACGCTGACTCAGCTTGTCAGCCGGGTCAACAACGCCACGTCGGACGGAACCATCAGCAAAACAACCGAGGGAGGTGATTTGCTCTGGTTTTCAGAGATGAAGGAGGCGTTATACCCGGTTTTCCGGTTGAGGGATGTTATTCACACAAGCGCAAGAGATGAGGAAGGCAAAATTGACTTATTCCCATGATTATCCCCGTGGGGACAATGATGTACTGAGCCCATAATGGTCTGACAATCTTGGGCCATAAGTATAATTTTAGCCTTAGATAAAGTCCACTTTGACTCCCTTAAAAAGTAGGCCAAATCTAATTAGTGCCCCTTAACTAGAAAACCAATAGGACGACTCCACAAACTACTAAAACCAGTGCAATTTAACTCCTCCAGCGGTTTTGGAGGGCCTTTTTGCTGACGTGGCGTTGACATGGCGGTGTTGACCCTGTCTTCATCCCATGTGTCGCTTATGTGGCATTAGAATTTAAAAAATGTCTATGGGACCCATATGTCATTCACACACAAAATATATTGTGGGGCCCACATGTTATCCTTTCTCCTTCCTTTCTTCCTCCCTCTCTCTCCCATCTCTCTCTTTTCTCTCCCCTTCAGACGCACGCAAAGAACGGGAGTTGGCTCGGCGGCGGCGCAGGCGGGGGCCAGAGTGGTGACGGCGGTGTACAGGCGGGGGCAGAGGGCAGGTGGGATCTCAGCGGCACCGCCTCTCCACTTTCCCTTCTTCACCCCCGGCAACGGCGGACGGGGGTGGTGGCGGTGTGACGATGAGGACAATGGCGACCACGAGCAGCGGCGGCGGGGAGCGGCAACTGCGGGATGACAGCGACGATGACGTACTGGAGTGGCAGTGGCGCGACGACGGCGACGGCGACCACGAGTGGCCGCTGCGCGACCACGGCGACGACGACAGGATTTCTTCGATTTTATTTTTTTCCTTTTTTTTCCGTGCGGGTGGTATAATTTGACCGCACGAGACAATCGATTATCCCGTGCAGTTGGGTCGCCCGCACACAAAAATATTGGTTTTCGCAGACCCCTGGGTACAGACGGGCTCTACCTCCGCACGAAAAAATGAATTATGTACTAGTGTTAATATCCAAATAAGTCTAGTGCGACAATAATTTTATACAACGATCCATGAAAACATTACCAAAGCTAATATGTTGTATGCTGTAATAATGTAATATCTGTGAAATCAAAGTGTGCTTGATTATTATTTTTAATGAATAATTAGAATATGAGATTATTGGTTTTTATATTTGAAGATTATTGGCAAAGTGGTGGTTTTGGAGATAATTGGAATTTTCAAATGGTGAATAGGGACTATTGTCAGATTGGGTATGGTCACATCGGGCTATGGTTGTCGGTCACACCGGCCAGCCCGCGGTCTGATCGGTAGACACTGTGTCAGTTTCGGTTTCAGGTTGATTCTTTGAATATCCGTGGATAATTCATGTCTATGACTTCTAGATAGATACTATGCGTATGTAATATTGATTATTTGCTATGCGTCAAGTTGGTGAAAACTTGTACCTTGATATGGTTTCTTGGTTGATGCATATGTAGGTGATTCTTAATGCCTCGGAAGAGCATTGCCGGTAATGGATTGGGAGTCAACTTGGGAGAAGATGACGTCCGGTCGATTAGGATATCATGCGGGATGCTTAGGCTAAAAATCAATGCATGTGGTTGGTGAAGATTTCATATGGAATATGATGGATATATTGTTTGCGTGTGAGATATGAAGTCGAATTTGCAGGGAGTCCAAATTTGATACAATTGGAGTTTGTAAAGCTCGTTTCTTGTACGGGAAGGTTTCTAGGGGATTTAGATTGCGTACCTCGGGTATAAACAAAGAGGGAGGGTATGTCCTTCCGGGATCGTTTTTGAGAGAGTTGAGATTAGAGTAAAGTTAGGGTTTCGAGTTTAGTCGAAATTTTGATGAGGAGCGTTGTTGTTGCACTTCGTAAATACAAAGAAAAGTAATAAAGTTTCAATCTATTTTGATAAATTTTTTATTTGTGTTTGCTTGGGTGCGGCGGTCCAATCGATGGGACACCTCACACCTGCGGTCAGACCGAAGGCATCGCACCGTTCAAACTGGCAGGAGCACGGTGGCCAGACCGACGATGGGTTCAGGCGACAGCGACAATCACATGGCGGTTAGAACGGGTGATCTACACCGGTCAGACCGGTGGCGCAGGTACAATCAGACCGGCAGATCAATTCCGGTTAGACCAATCTACATCGGATTCAAGGGTAGCTTTCAATTTCGCTAAAAGTTTTGGTTTTTTTGGTACTACAACCATTCAACCCCTCTGATTAATTTAGTTCTTACTATTCGGTCCTTCGATATCATTCGTAACAGCAAGTCCGGCAGTACGAGATGGGCATCAACAATGCAGGTGAAATTGCAGCATTTGGAGAAAGTATCAGACGAAGCAAGATTTTAAACGAACTGCGTTAGCCTCGCAGGTCACAAGGCTAATGCACACGCGCGATCAGATCCGTGCATATTGAAACCAACGTTCCAGATTCATCGGTCCACCAACACCATCCATGGACGCCTCAACAAAATTTAACAAAACCTATACGGTCTGACCAGTGTAGCTCGCCCGGTCTAACCGCCATGCGATCATATCATCTGAATTTCGTTTCGAACTGGCACGATAAAAACGTTTTCATTCCGGCGATGATTAAAACTGCAAACGGTCTGAATCTAAAGGAAATTATTTCAACCGAACACAACGTCCAAATCGCTTGCCATCATTACCCAAAAGAAATAACCAAACACAGCAGCGAGACGTGATTAAGGTGGTGTTTACATCAGGGACTTAACTTTAGTCCCTGTCTTTAGACACTAATTTAGAGTATTAAATATAAACTACTTACAAAACTAATTACATAAATAAAAGCTAATTCACGAGACAAATTTTTTAAGCCTAATTAATCTATAATTAGAGAATGTTTACTGTAGCATCACATAGGCTAATCATGGATTAATTAGGCTCATTAGATTCGTCTCGCAAATTAGTCCAAGATTATGGATGGATTTTATTAATAGTCTACGTTTAATATTTATAATTAATTTTCAAACATCCGATATGATAGGGACTTAAAAGTTTCAGTCCCATCTAAACAGGGCCTAATTTGGCTCAGCACAGCAGCACAGTACAGAGAGCGCAGTACAGCCTGTCGTCCTCTCCACTGCTCCTCACTACAGTCCAAACTAGCGTTCAATAAACAAGAGATTAATTAAATTATTACTAGCTGCACCCATCAAAGCATAATCGCATGCAGCATCAGACCAAAACCAGGATTAGGACCATCCCTAATCAAATCCCATTTTTGTTTATCTTCTTTTGTTTTTTAGCCCAAGAGGGGGTACAGTAATTTATAGCAGGTCGTCAGGAGGGCTGCCTCCCTGGTGTGGTGCAGGAAGTCACGACGCATTGGCAGCCGTCAGATGGCCGTCACTTCCAGGCTTGGAGTCGCATCAGACGGCGCAGGTGATAAGGCGAGGCGCAGGTGTGCTGAATTTCTGATGGAGATGATCATTTGCTTTTTTTCTGGCGGCTTTCGTTGCTGAACTCACGCAGCCATGCTCACTCATCAAAGTTTTGCTTTGACGCCTCATCAGCCTTCTGCGTGCCATGATTCCATCCGACTCTTTAAACGTTGTCAGCCATCACTACATGCCAAGATGTGCATACATTTCAGTAATTATTCGATGAGCACCTTTCCTTGTCCTCCCTTTTCCAATGCCCAATTATACACACAATCGAACACTGGTAATCGAGAGAGAGAGTTCACAATCAGTCCATTCTTTCGCTTAGCATAACATACAACTTATAAATAATAAATTTATCAGTAAAATTTTATATCCATGTCCTTAGCACGATTCAAAAAAAATACGTTAAAATAATATATATATATATATATATATATATATATATATATATATATATATATATATATATAAACAAAACTATAGAATCAACTTTAAAAATAAATTTTAAAATTTACATTTTAGTTTATAAGTAGTATAAGCATAAGTGAATCGGCGAGGCTGAATGTTTTTTCTTTCTACTCATGCAAACCTTGCATGTCAGGTTCTCTGCAGCACTGTACTGCTCACTCCCACCCCACGAATCCTTGGGCTCACATGTCAGCGAGTGGATCTCAATTGTGCGTTATCCCATTCTTGCTTCATGCAGCATCGATTATTGCATGTTTTTTTTCTGGTACATCCATTGCACAAAAGGTGATAGCTGTAGCATCATGGCACCACTGATCTCTCTGGAACACTGGCACCCACACACACATACACACACACTGCCAGTGTAGGCCCCGGCCCATACTCATCATCATCAAGCTGTGTCTGTGTCTCTCTGCCCTACCTACGCGCGCCTGCTGCGTCGCTGCAGGGCGCAGAGGCGAGGGGAGAGACGTAAACGTAACCAAGCAAAGCAACGCGCCCATGCGGCCGCCCGAGACGATGCAACGCGAGCAGCCGCAGAGCAGAGCAAGAGCCAACGGTAGGAAATGGCCACCACCACGACGATGGAGATCCGGAATTCGCGAGGAGCAGGGGGTGCCAAGTGCAAAGGCGTGGCAGGAGAAGAGGAAGAGGACACAGCAACAGCGTTGCGCACTGCCTGCTGCCATTGCTGCCTCGCGTTTACAGCTATAGAAAAAGGTCGCGGCGCAGAGCGCAGAGTAGCAGCAGATCACACACACCCACAGCAGCAGCAGCAGCGGAGCGGAGCGGAGGAGCGTCGCGTTGCAGAAATCGCAGCGGCAACTGGCAAGTGGGTGGGGTGGTGGGGAGGGGGGGGCCCGTCGTCGTCAGCGGCGTCCCACATGTTGTACGTGGCCCGCGATAACGTGCGCGGCCGCGGGTGTCGCACGCGAGCAAAAACGGAGCGTCTTTTGGGGGCGTTCGTTCGCGGTGATGAGCGGTTCGGCTTTTTTTTTTTCTCTCTTCGTCTGCGCGAATATTTAGAGAGGAGCACATGCGGCACAGTGGCCGGATCCAGAGCAGATCAAGCCGGTGGTGGATGGATGGATGGATGGATGGACAGACCAGACCGGCTGGCTGGCTCGACCTCCTGTTTTTAAATTGAACTCTGCCCCGTCCGGCATCTACTACTGGCTACCGTTGCTGACTCCGATGCAGATAAGCTCAAACAATGAGGCTGTGATGCTTTGTGTGAGTGTGAGTGTTAACTGAACATCAAGTGAGATCAATTTTTGCTCTGCCCTAAAAATGCCACACCCATCATTTGCATGCATTGCAGTTTTTACAGCATTTCAACTTTCCACCAACACCATTTCGACAGTGTTTACTCCTGGTATAGATGAGAGACAATTAAAAGAAGAAAGAAGATCAACTTTGATGGTGCGAGACAGAAACAAAATTCGGAATATACAGTTCTAAGAGAAAGAAAGAAAGAAGAAAAAAAGAACAGTCAATTGATTAGACCTTCCATGAGGCGTCTCCAAAGAACAAACAAAATCAGTTAAAACCAAACTATCATCTCATCATGGCCTCCCCCTTTCCCTTTCCGTGCACTCATCATACCGGCAGCAGCAAACAAGACAAATCCCAACAGCAACTAACCGGTCAAACAAGAGTCAAATTACCCACAAGATCTCCCCAGCTCGCCGCTCCACCCTTGCGGCGCCGCCGTCGTCTTCCGCCCCAGCGACGACCTCGTCCTCGCCGCCATGGCGTCCTTCGCCGCCGCGTCCTTCTTGTCCTTGAAGAACCCGAACACCGGCCGCGAGCACACCGGCACGTTCAGCACCACCGGCGCCACGCGGACGCCGGAGGAGTATGACCGGTCGACGGCGCGGGAGCGTGGCTTCGCCGCGGCGTGGAGGGTGCACGGTGAGCTGGAGCTGCGCTCCAGGCCCTGGAACACGATCTTGCCGGAGGAGTTCATGCGCGGGGAGTCGACGGAGAGGCAGCGCGGCGGCGGCGGCGGGGAGGGGCGGCGGCGCGCGGGGCTTCGGCCGGCGCGGGATGAGGAGGATGAGGAGGTGGAGTGGCGGTGGGAGGAACGGACGAGGCGGATGCGGGGCGGGTTGGGGTCAGCGGCGGAGTCGAGGGAGAGGCGCGGGATGTCGTCGTGGTCGTGGCCGGAGGAAGACGACGACGACGAGAGGGAGAAGCGGGAGGAGGCGAGGGAGAGAGACGCCTCCGAGTCGGAGCTGTCGCGGAGGAGCGGCGCAGAGGCGAGCTCCGACGCGGAGGCCCCGGACGAGCGGCCGTTGTTCCGTTGGAGCAGCAGCTTCAGCGACCTCGCCGCCGTCGAGTTCATCGCTCTCCCGGGGGTTCTCGCGGGCGCAGACGACGGCGATGGCTTCGGGCTCTGCGCTGCCGCTCTCTTCAGCCCGAGCAACTCCCGCCACCGGCTCGAGCAGCTGGGCGCCTTAGGAGAGAAAACGTACGGGTCGGCGGCGTCAACCGCGGCGGTAGCCGCCCGTAGTGGCTTCATCGGCTCCGAAGGCGCCGGCATTGCCTCAGGCTGCGGCGGCCGTGGCGCCGCCGCATCCATCTCCGGCACAGCCGCCGCCTTCCGAAGCGGGAGCAGCTTCCCGTCGGCAAAGAGCTCGTCCGCCGGGAGCATGGTGGCGGAGCCCCCGAGGCTGAACTCGAAGTCGATGAAGTCCTTGGATATCGCCGGCTCCGGCGTCGTCGTCGTCGCCACCGCCGCCGCGGCGGCCAGGGGCGAAGAACACACGACCACCGCGGCAGCCTCCTCAGCCCCGGCGGCGTCGCGGCTGAACGAGACACGCGGACCATGCCATCCACCGAACGGCATGACAGCCGCGGGCGCAGCTGCAGGCAAGTTACTCGCGACGGCGGAGGCCATGGCAGGCGGCGGCTAAGCGCATCAACGGTAAGCAGCGCGACAAGAAGAAGTATATCTCGTGGTACCCGATCTCACTAGACTGCCGGTACGGTACTAATCACACACACTGGTTTTTATGGGTGTCACTAGATAGGGCTAAGGTGTGAGGCGGGGTAAAGGCGCGTATATATAAGCTGGGTAAAGGTAGTAAAATCTCGAAATGTTTTTCGATCTGGCGGCGACCGACCGAGGAGGTGAGGGTCTCCCGGTTCGCGGAAGCGCGCGGCAACGCAAAAACAAGTCCGGCCTTTGGGCGTTGCCGTTCCAGGTGAGCGCAGAGGCAAAGTGTGTTCGTCGGTTTCCGTGGATTTATTTTTGCAACGGCGCCACCGGCCGGATCGGTACAGCTACGGACAGGCGAGATACAGAGGGGAAACCGTGGGGGATGTGCAATGGTTTTTTGAGATGTGTTTCTTCCTTCCCAGTTGCTACTCGGATCACCGTGGAATCTGTTTGTGGCTAGTAGGAGGATATGTGTTAGAAATTAGAATCTCCTGGTTCTGGTCTAATCAATTGTTACGTTTTCTACATCGAAAAATATGGGATAGTTGGCTAGTGGCTATATCGGTTCGATGTTGTACGTTCCTAGTTTACTTTTTACGATACGATGGGTGTAACGCGCAAAAATGTATTTTATATGAAATCAATAGATCAACAATGTAGAGTGTTGAAAGCAAACAATAACCTCTTATTATCTCGATGATGGTTTTTTTTTCTGTTAGCTAGGCTACTACTTAATCAATCGTATTTATGTCTGTACATATGTCGGCATTTCGTATGAGCATTTGCAGTTTTTTTTCTATGTAAATAAACAATTTTGGTATACTATAGATCCATCCTTGTACGTAGTCCGTGATCTTAATTACAAGAGTAGGAGAAAACGGATCAGACAAGCATTCTTTGTTTAAACGTGTAGACATCTCCTTATGTTACTCCTCTTGTACATGTGGGTTGTTTCTTTGGGGTGAACTTAGGAATCTTCCTAGCAAATGCCCTTGCTGTAAATTTACAGTACAGGATCAGGTGGGTACACCTCTACACATTTCAGAAGCTTTGGCGGGGAGCTTAGCTCTGCATTGGTGTTACTCGCAACTTTTGGAGGCAACCGCTGCATTAACAAACAGCACCAAAACCACATTTGAACGCTGCAGCATGTAATGTTGCAGTTTACTCGCACGGGGACAAACGATATCTATTTATTTGTACGCAGTAGAGTGTTAGGAGGAGGTGACAGAGCGAGCAAAACAACAAAAAGGACGTGTGTGTATATAGCTCCAAGTTGGGATTTTATGAGTAGTACAGAAACCATGGATCTTACTGGGTAGTAACCCCAGCTTTTGTCGTCCCAAAAAGATGAGATGTCGATCCCTCGATCTCGCTCTCTCCTCTTTACGTGCAAAAATTAAAAAGGACATGGCCATTTTTGTGGCTTCATTTTCTCGACATTTAAATGGAAACATTGATACAGATTTCATGTTGCTGTTGATTCAGGATTAGATTATCCTTTCCGTTTTTTTACACCTGCCGGTGCATTTTCCGATGGGTGTAGCTCCGAGCTTCGTTAACTAACGGCTCGCCCACACTCTCCTCCCAAAAACGATGTATAGATCACTCTGCACTGTACATGCTCTCCAACACGTTGACCACCCTTCTCCCGAGGCCGCTCGCCTCGCCGGTGCACCACCGGTGAGCGCTCCGTCCGAGCCGGTCGGCTCATGACCATCCTGACCAATCTTTTACATACCGCAAAGGCCGTCATCGTTGCCGGGGACCAAGACGATGAACAGTGGGAGATCGCCGGCCGGCTGGGACCATGGCGGCGGTGGCGATGTACTCTCTCTGTTTCATAAAAAACAAACCTAGGATCAGATATGACATATTCTAATATAATAAATCTGAATATATATATATATATATGTAGATTCGTAATATATTCGGCACTAGTAGGTTGGTTTTTTATGGGACACTCGGGCGGCCAGCCCAATCATGTGAGGAAATCGTACCGAAAAGACCAGGCTGCCCCTGGTACGTGTGTGTAGATAGGCGGAATCTAGCGAGGGGGCCAATGCTTTGCAAATGCAATGCCATTGCTGCCGGCACGGGCGAGCATATGTCTCTGACGCGACGACACGTCCGTCCCTCCCTTCCCCTGTCCCGACCTGTCGCCTTGTATACGCTCGTACTAGGTACAGTAGTACGTACGGTTGCGATACCTCCGTAGCTACGGTGAACACGCGAAGTAATACTCCGTATCCCCGTAGACATAACCGTATTCTCTAGTAGTACTACTACTACAGAAGAAACTGGGCCCTAAAATCTACTACTGCCATAGCACTCACAAAACGTAGGGGGCCAATGTAATGCAGTAGTTAATCATACTGTAGCAGTTTGTTTGAGTAAGGTGCATGAGCAGTCCTTAATTTTATACGGGCATGTTATTTAGATACCTAATATGACATCCCGGCTCAAGGCTTAATAGAATTAATAGAATACTCATATCAACAAGTTGCAACTAATTTTTCGGAAGCCGGTCTCGAAAGAACTCTTAGGTTAAGTGTGCTTGGCCTGAAGCAATTTTGGGATGGGTGACCGACTGGGAAATTCTTCCTGTGTGTGCACGCTGCAGCAATTTCGGGATGAGTAACCGCCTCCAAAAATATAAATCGGGGTAAAGTTCACTGTCTAGGAAGAGCATTTTTCCCAACGTAGGGGCTTTTTATCACAGGCCCGCGGACTACTTAAGCGACGCCTGCGAAAATCTATTTTCGCTCGCATGCGCACCTTATATGGTCCGCCTGTAAAAATCCTACCTACCCATCCTTATCCTCTCCTCTCCACCACTCATTCCCTCATATCTCTCTCTCTCTCTACCCTTCTTACCTTATCCTTCCATCCCCTTCCTTCCTTCCATGGGACGCGGGCTGGCGGAGGGCGTTGGCGGCGGCGCGGACGGAGGGGGCTGGCGGCGGCGTGGGCAGAGGGCGCGGGCGGAGGGGGTGACGGCGACGGCAGCGACGTGGGCGGATCCCCTCCGGCGGCGGCCCTTAATTTCCCGGTGCGGCAGCGGCGGCTCCCATCCACTCCCAGATCCGGCCAGAGGGAGGCCGGGGGAGGGCGGCGGCGGCGGCGGGCGGAGGGTGCAAGCGGCAGCGCGAGCGGAGGGGGCGGCGGCGACGACGACGACGTGGGCGGATCCCCTCCGGCGGCAGCCCTCTCCCGGTGCTGCGGCGGCGGCGAGGCGATTTTTTTTGTTTTTTATTAGATTTTCGCAGGCGGGTCATTGCCCCGACTGTGAAAATGGATGATTTTCACAGTAGTTGGTATGCAGGCGGTCCTCCCCTCCGCCTGCAAAAATTGCTTTTGGCCGCTTGCGAAAATGCTTTTTCTAGTAGTGGGTGTCATTTAGATCTAAACGAGCTCTAACCCGCTCCATGCGCTGATGTGGCATGTCAAGATAGCACCTACGTGTTAGTCAGACCCACGTATCAGTCACATAGAAAAAAATAAAATTTAAAAAACATATTTTCTCCTCTCTACCTTAGAATTTTTATCTTTTTTTACCTAAGAGGAGAAAATTTGGTTTTTAATTTTTTTTATATATGCTTGACATGTGGATTTCACTGACATGTAGGTGCTATCGTGGCAATGCCACGTCAGCATATGGAGCGGGTTTAAACCCATTAGGACCTATATGACACACATGACAAGTTTAGGGATCTAAAATGTATTTTGGGAATTTAAGGACCTAGATGACATAACTACACAAGTTTAGAGGCTGCCCACGTACTTCACTCTAATTGTTTTGATAAAAACATGATGTTTAAAAAACAACTTTGACTACTTCCTTGTGTAATAATAATATGTATAGAAATACCAATAAATATATAATTTTATTGAAGTAATTTTAAAACTATATGCAAATGATCACCTTATTTTAAGAAAAGAAATAATTTAGAAATTATTCACAGTTAAAGATATTAAAGCTCTATATCAAATTTATGTAAAACGATAAGTATTATCGACATGAAGAGAGTAGTATATGGAGTACCTTCCTTCTCTTACATGACCGACCAAACGAGTCGAGAATATTTTTCGCCGTGTTTAGTTCTAAAGTTTTTTTTTTAAAACTTCCAACTTTTCGATCACATCAAAATTTTCCTACACACAAACTTTTAACTATTCCGTCACATCGTTCCACCTTTTGAACTAAACACAGCCTTTATTAAACAATCGTGAACTTTTTACCAAAGCAGTTGCAAACTTGCAACTCGTAGGTAACTTGCAATATTTATATATTTTTTTATGAATCCTAGTTGAGCAAATAGCCGTTGGCAGTGGATGAGCGGGCGAGTGTCGTGTATATGTAGCAGGGATGTGCAAGGGGCCAAAAAGGCTGCTACTCTTTTTACCCGTAAATCAACTGAGCTGGCATCACCATGCAGGTTGCAGAGGATAACGCTTCGGTCCGGTCGCGTCCACCACCAAATGGGCGAGGCGATGATGGGTGACCACGCTCTCTCTCGCCGGTGGGTAGGGCGCAGCGGCAGAGGATACCTGATGTGGCCGCAGACGGGCCCCGGCCGGCCGGTCCACGGGTCAAAAAAGCGCCAAGTACTTCTCCGCAGCCGCAGCCGCAGAGGCCGGCACGGGCACGGGAACCCACATTTGACCACCACGACATGTGTAGTACGTCTCCCCTGCACGCCCAACCACACGCAGAGGCAGAGGCCTCGCTTCGCCCCGCGGGTCGCTCGGTTGCGCGCGCGCGGCGGGTTGCGTACGTACGTACGTCTGCCGATGTGTGATGCGTGCGAGTGGAGTATGGCTTTTGGTTTTCGTTGGCGCCGCGGTGCCGTGTTGGGTATGGGCGGACCATGCCGTCGTACTGCGGCAATGCATGCATGCGTTGCTCCTCTCGAAAGGGAAAAACGGAAAAATGGGAAAGGAGGATTATAGAAGTACGGGCACATATGCTGTGTTGGAGTCTACCGTGCGTGTGTGTGTGTGTGCGTCGTCCGTGCTGCTATTTGGATGTGGATGCGTGCATTGCCCATGCATGAGCCCATCCCTGTTCTCTTGGTTCGTGGATGGATGCATATATGGTCGCGAAAAGAAATCAACCTTTTCGATCAAATAGCTTATACAGTTGAACTAAACTCTCTATGTGTATGTTGTTCTTTCCACAAGGATTACATGTGTACTATATGTTAAAGGAAATTTAATGTTTTAACCACTCACAAGCGAAAGATTCTTTACGAATTGAATGTCTTGATAAATGTAAGTTTTGATGAAATGGCACCATACAATAGTTATTATTCCTTTTATTTTCCCCAGTACCGTTAGCCTTCCGTCAAATGCGTTATGTTAACCCCGTGTGTTCATTTTAGTGGTAAAATACACTTTTCGCATGGTTTGTACCGACTGTTTTATTAGAATTCCATATTTTTTTGGAAATCGAACAGGAACGGTATAGAGTTTTTGCCGACCATTTTGGTGGTATACCATTTTCATGCGGAATTTCCAAAATAATACAATATAATAACAATAACTCGTCAAAAATATCGTATAATACCGACAAAACTCGTCAAAATATAAAAGAGTTAACCATAAACCTTATGTGTTGCCATTGTTAATGCTATAATCTCGTTACGAAGCATTCAAATTAGTTATTTACATGG